TCAAATTACAGAACAGATACCACAAAATGCTGCTGAGCTGTAAGACCTTTTATTTTTCAGAGATGGTGGGAATGCAAAATGTTGTAGCCATTTTGGAAGACTGGTGATTTCTCACAAAACTGATCATATGCTTAACTATATGATCTAGCAATTGTGCTCCTTGGTGTCTGCCTAAAGGAGTTGAAAATTTAGGTACAAATAAAAACCTGCACATGGATGATTACAGACTAGCATCATCATAATGGCCAAAACTGAGAAGCAACCATGATGCCATCACAGTTGAGTGAATAAACAATGGAATATTTTCAGTGCTAGAGATAAATGAGCATCAAGCCATGAAAAGATATGTAGGAAACTTAAATGGATATTACTATGTGAGTAAAGTCAGTTTATATAAAGGCTACATATTATATGCTTTCAACTATATGACATTCTGCTAACAGCAAAACTCTGAAGACAATAAAAAGATCAGTGGTTGCCAGGAGTTAGGGGGAAGGGATGAATAGGCAGAGCAGTGAGAATTTTTAGGGCAGTAAAATTATTTTGTATACTATAAAGGTGGATACATGTCATTAACATTGATATGTCTAAATGCACAGAATATATAATACCAAGAGTGAACCCTCATGTAAATCATGGTCTTTGGGTCATAATAAGGTATCGTGCAGGATCATCAGCTGTAACAAATGTTGTAACTTTGATAGGGGGAGTTAATAGGGAAATCTGTGCATATGCATGAGCAAGGGATACAGTAGTCCACCTTATTTGTGGAAGATACATTATAAGACTCCCAGTGGATGCCTGAAACTCAGAAAGTACTAAACCCTATATATACTGTATTTTCCTATACATCTATACCTATGATAAAATTTATCAATTAGGCACATTAAGAGGTTAATAACAAAAATTAATAATAAAATAGAACAATTATTATAACAAAAATTGTATGACCATAGCACTTGTTTTAGTCAAGATTTTTCATCACTATGACCAAAATACTTGGTAAGAGCAACTCAAAGGAGGAAAAGTTTATTTTGGCTCATAGTACCAGTTGTTGAGTCCATGGTGGATGAACTCCATTGCTCTGGGCCCAATGAGGGAGAACATCATGGCAGATGGGCATGGTTGAGGAGAACTGCTCCATTCATGGCAACAAGGAAGTAAAGGCAGGGTGTTAAAGGGAAGACGAACTCTTTCTCTAGCCATGTCCCATCTGCCTGCACTTAGTACCCATTCAAACTAGGATGGCCCAATTAGGCTACAGCTCTTACAATTCAATTATTTCACCTCCAAATATTCCTTCATTAACACAGAAGCTTTTGGGGGATACTTCATATCATACTATGTTCTGTCCCTGGTCCCCAAAAGCTCATGTGTACCTCACAACACAAAATACAATTAGTTTATCTCTAAGAATTCCATAGTCTTAACAGTTCCAGTATTGCCCAAAAGTCCTAGTCCATAGTCTTCCCTCTGAGACCTAAAGCAAACTCTTGGCTGTGAGTCTCTGTAAAAGTCAAATTACATGTATCTAAAATACAGTGGCACAGAATAAATATTCCCATTCCAAATGGA